TCTGGTCCCAAGCATTTTGGGTAAGGGATACTCAACTCTTCCATTGTAATGTGAAAGTAGACATAGGTAATTAGTAAACAAATGGACAAGACTGTGTAATAGTTTTATTTACAAACCAGGGGACTGGCTGATCTGGCACTCAGTCACGGTTTGTGGCTCTGTTCTATGGTCATAGAATCTCCAGCAAGGTGTCTGCTTGCTTTTTTTTTTTTTGAGTTGGAGTCTTACTCTGTCGCCCAGACTGGAGTGCAGTGGCCGCTCCCGGCCACCGCAGCCTCGACCTGCTGGGCTCCGGTGATCCTTCCGCCTCAGCCTTCCGGAATTACAGGAGTGTGCTATCACGCCTGGCTAATTTTTTAATTTTATTGTAGAGATGAGGTCTTGTCTGCCCAGGCGGGTCTCGAACCCACGGGCTCGGGCAGTCCACTCACCTCAGCCTCCCAAAGGTGCGGGATTACAGGCTGAGTCACCGAGCCCGGCCTGCTTGCTAATAATTACTTTCCCTGCATCCTTTGCAGCTGGTGTGGTCTTGTTCTGGCCAGCAGAATGAGTGACTATGAGTGACAACTTATTTATTTATTTTTTTGAGTTGGAGTCACACTCCGTCGCCCAGACTGGAGTGCAGTGGCCGCTCCCGGCCACCGCAGCCTCGACCTGCTGGGCTCCGGTGATCCTTCCACCTCAGCCTTCTGAGTAGCCGGAGTTACAGGCGCACGCGACCACGCCCGGCTGATTTTTTGATTTATTGTAGAGATGAGGTCTCGCTGCCCAGGCGGGTCTCGAACCCGCGGGCTCAGGCAATCCACTCACCTCAGCCTCCCAAAGGCGCGGGATGACAGGCTGAGTCACCGAGCCTGGCTTGAGTGACAATTTATAAACCATCTCCCTTCTCTCGAACTGAAATGAGATCGTGGTGAGCCACTTTTGACTGAGGACAACACACTCAAAATGTCAAGGAATCGAGAAGGAAGGAATGTGTCTACGAGGTACTATCCTACCCTGGACCAGTATGTATCACCTCACTGTTCTGAGAAAGGATGGGGGAAGCACCTAAAACCTTTTAACTTATTTAAGTCACTGGAATTTGGGCATCTTTTAAATAAATATTTGCGTCTTCAAGTTTAGCTCAGGCTATGATTAATTCAGAAGGGAAAAAAGTTTTGTGCCAGGGCTACAGAATCCAGTGATCCATGGTAAACCCATCCAGAGGGGTCAGATGACCTGACACAAATCTATCATTATCACAGGAATGAATTATCTAGTAAGGAACTAATAACTGTGCCAAACCCTCATAAATACAAGCTCTCACTCATCTTTAAACCAATGATTACTATGATCATGTTTACAGATGAGGTTCAGAGAGGTTAAACAATATGCCCCCAGTGATACACAGCCTCTAAGCAGACAGGCAGATATAGAAATCCAGGGACACATGACTCTCGAGCACATTCTTCTTCCCAAATCAACTCCTCTGTGTCAAGGACAAGCTCCAGTAATATTACTAGTCATTGGCTCGGTGACCCCAGGTTTCAATTTCAATTTTCTTCCTTTCTTTTTCTTTTTCTTTTTTTCAGCCTCCCGAGTAGCTGGGACTACAGGCACACATCCCCATGCCCGGCTCATTGTATAATGTTTGGTAGAGACAAGGTCTCATGGTGTTGCCCAGGCTGATCTCAAATTCCTGGGTTCAAGCAATCCTCCCGCCTTGGCCTCTCAAGGTGCTGGGATTGCAAGTGTGAGCCACTGTGCCAGGCCTTCAATTTTCAAACTGAAAACTGTCACTAAGATCCATTGACTAACGGCTCCCACTGGTTTAATTACGACTCCCCTTTAAAAGACAAGTAAACCAAGATGACACAAGGTTAAATAACTTACCCAGATTCCTTTGAAAGACTTTGAGAATGCCAAAATGTGGATTTCATCAGACAGTCCCACCGGCTGGCAGCTTAGCCAACAGACGAGCTACTGCCATCACCGTCTCCTTCACTGCCCACGAGGAAGTTAACTGCCTGGACACTTGCTACGCCCCACTGAACAGAGCCTGCAAAAGTACTTGCAAAATGCCCTAGCAGAAGGGAAGAGTTTTTTTTCTCTCCAGGAAACGGGTGAGTGATAATCCTACCGCCATGTGCTGTTGTTCCTAGTCCACGGGGTGTAGCATCTTATCTCTGCTAGGGGCTTGGCACCCACCCTGAGGACCATCTGGCTTCATATCTCTGATCACCACGACCTCGCCTGTCCTGTACAGCCTGGAGGCTCAAGGGAGGTCAAGTTGACAGCACAGCCAATGACGCCAAGTGATCGTGGCAGAGGAACCCAAAATCAGCTGCAAAAAACTTTAACCTTATTTCAAATGTAAAGAAAGCAACTGTTTCGAAATTATTTGATTTTTTTAAAAAATGGAACAAAAGTTGGTGTTTTGAAAACTTCACTAATTTAGTTGACCATGAATAGCTAATTAAAAATGAATTATTATAATTATTTGTTGCTCTACCAAGAATTAGACAGTTAAATAAAATGTTTGTCACAGAAATGTAGCAAAGAATAAATAAGACTGTCTTGACCGAGTTGAGAGAATTGCTTGGGCCCAGGGGTTTGACTGAGCCCAGCCTGGGCAACATAGCGAGACCTTGTCTCTACAAAAAAATAAAAATAAAAAATTAGCCAGGCATGTAGTCATAGCTATTTGGGAGGCTGAGGCAGAAGGACCACCTGAACCCAGGAGGCTGAGGCTGTGGTGAGCCAGGATAGAGTTACCACACGCCAGCGTAGGTGACAGAGTGAGACTCCAACTCAAAAACAAAGCAAAACAAAACTATCTTGAGTAAAGCACAAAATTAGCACGTTCTCAACTACATATTTAAACCAATTGTTTTTAAAACTAGAAAGGAAGACCTTATCCCCCAGATGAACTTTTTTATTTGGCATATCTTTAACGCTTTCCAGAGCCAAATTATAATGAATACAAAACTAGGTAGCCATTTGAAATCATATTTTTAAAGAATATTTTGGGATGTGGAAAATGTGCTCACATATATTGTTGTTTTTTAAAAAGCAGATTTCAAAACAGTTTATAGTCATTCTTATGAAAGAATATATATCTATATTATAAATATATATAGACAATTAGTCTGCAAGTAAATGCCTCAACATTCTTTTTTTTTTTTTTTAGTTAGAGTCTTTGTCACCAGGCTGGAGTGCAGTGGCACACTCACAGCCACTGCAGCCTCGACCTGCTGAGCTCAGGTAATCCTTCCAAGTAGCTGGAACCACAGGCATGCACCACCACACCTGGCTAATTTTTTTTTTTTCTGATTTATTGTAGAGACAAATTCTCTCCAAGTTGCTCAGACTGATCTCGAACCCCTGGACTCGGGCAATCCTCTCACCTCGGCCTCCCCAAATGCTGGGATTACAAGCATGAGCCATCGTGCCCAGCAATACCTCAACATTCTAACAGCAGTTCTTCTCTGATAGTAAAATAACAAGCGATTTTTATTTTCTCAGTCTTCTATAACATATGATACAAGTACATTTTTAAGCAACTAGGTATAAAGAAAATCATGACATTTAAGGCATGGCTTTCTCCTGGATGCAGAATGAGGTTCTGGGAACAGTGCGAGCTATTTTGCGTCCAAATCATATATAGAAATCTCAGAAACACACATATTGAACAGCACAACAAGTCTCCAAGAGCTGATGGTGGCCTTTCACAAAGATCAGAGGGGTTCCATAACATATTGAAATACAGAACCTCTGGGGAGAAGGGCCAGACTCATAACAACACTCAGCTCTTACGTTTCATCTCCACTAAACTGATATTGAAAATGGAGAGAGGACTGTGTATAGCACTCAAACATCTGTGACATATCATTATGGAAGAATATTTCCAGGAATTCTAACACACAGTTACTCCTCTCATACTGAGAAAACAGTTGAAATGATGTACAGCAGTTTATGTACCAATTTATGTACACCAGAAACTTACAGCTCTGTGTATGTACAGCCCATGTTAAATTCAAAAGAAGTGGGGGCACGCCACAATTTAGCATTAGCTGATATCAACTAGAAACCTGTCTCTGCATCACAATGGCAGTTACTAGAACCACAGACTCCCTTCCCCATTAGAGAACAGAGTCAGAATAAAATTTATACCTACGTAATGTTATCTTCCCCCACCTTCACTGTCACAAAGCACAACGGGGTTTGAGGCCCGTGTTTACTTGCAGATATTGACAAAAACATCTTAACTGCTCCAGCAAATCATTGTCCCAAGTTTCACACGGACAGTCACATGATTCTCCAAGCGCTATTTCCCAGACTGAATCTTCCTTTGACGAACAGTCACTTCTTTCATAAAGCCAGCAGATCAACAAAATGACCTAAACTAACCTAACTCCTTTATTTTTTAAATGATGGACCTTCACAGAGCAAAATAAGACTTTGAAAGAAATATTTCGGGAAAGAGAGATGGTAGGGAGTTTCAGGAAAACGGGTGATAAAATTCCATTGCTTTTCCAAAAAAACAAAAAGCATCGTTTCCCAAGCTCCAGATACAAAAGCAGAGCAGAAAATAAAAGTATGTTCTCCGGTTACACTATTCCCGAGAGAGCACACTTTCACTTGAATTTCAATGAATACGTTCTCCACAAGGCTATTTCATTCACAGAGAAAAAACAAGAGACTGAACAATCCCACCATGTCTTAGTATATATGTGTGTGTGTGTGTATAAAAAACGATCTAAAGAAATATAACACCTCTACCTTCATTGAGAAATTCTACCTGCCTTAAATAAATATCACATTAACTAGAGAGATTTTTCAACAGTGAAACAACGAGGAGAGATGCAAAACAAAACAGCACTTGTCCGTCTAACCAAAGAAAAAGCAAATGACAGCCCAGCGGCAAGAAGGTCGTAGAGTAAGACCACAAAAATGGCTAAGATACTGAGTAAGATTCTGATCTATTAGCATAAATATGACGGAGAAAGCAAACACACCTTTCATGTGGGCTGCCTAAAAAGGCAGCTTCCCCGTACCTCTGACTTCCAACATCCTGCTCCTGACTAGAGTCTAGGAAAGTAATATATGACTTCAGTAATACTGGCCTGGCCCGCACCCAAGACAGTGACTCCAACTGTTCCACATTAATAACAAAAGCCATACAGCACGGACATGCAGGAAGAGTGGAAGGCATACATGAAAGATTCGGCCAGCTAAGAGCAGAGCCATCTCCCTGAAAGAAACTGGCCAAGTACTGTTCAGAAACCAGAGCTTCCTCCATTGAAAATCTCAGTTGCCCTTATAAAGCTATATCGTCATCCCACACAATTTCATTTTATTTTTTTGAGTTGAGGGAGGGTCTTACTCTGTTGTCCAGGCTGGAGAGCAGTGGCACGATCAAGGCTCACCGCAGCACCGAACTCCTGGGCACACGCGATCCTCCCACCTCAACCTCCTGAGTAGCTGGGATGACAGGCACCTGCCACCACGCCTGGATAATTTTTATTGATTTTTTTTTTTTTTTTTTTGTAGAGACAAGGTCTTGCTATGTTGCCCAGGCTGGTCTTGAACTCCTGGGTTCAAGCAATCCTCCTGCCTCGGCCTCCCAAAGTGTTGCGTTTACAGGTGTGAGCTACCTGTAATAATGGGCCTGAGGAGGTATGACACTGAGTAGTGGCCGAAACACAAGCCGTGAACAGCTTTGGGTTCAAATGGCCGTGTGACTTCTCATTACCATCAGGCAAGGGACTGAACCCCCTAAGAATCTGGTTTTCATCTGTAATGTAGGACTCTTAATAATGCATCGATGGCAGGACAGGTGAGAGCATTTGTCCTTTCTGAAGGAACTAATGCAGAGTAGACACTCAACGCATTAGCTTGTTTGCTCCTTCCCTCAAATCCAGAGAGCAGCTGTAAGCTGTAACAAAACTATACCCCTGGGAGTTGCCATGTCTGCAGCCCCCAGAGGTGCTAGGCAGGCGAGGTTTTGAGCACCGGAAGGATTCAGTTTGGTGTAGCCTGGTGTAGTGACTAAGCCCTTGGCTTCTGGAGTCTGAGAGCTGTATTCAAGTCTTTTAACTCTGTGATCTTTTTTTTTATCCATATGTTTTTTGAGTCAGCAGTCTTCTAACTCTGTGATCTTTCTATTAATTAATTAAACTGTTTGAGTCGGCATCTTACTCTCTTGCCCAGGTTGGAGGGCAGTGACACGCTCATGGCCACTGCAGCCTCAACTTGCTGGGTTCAGATGATCCTTCGGCCTCAGCCTTCCAAGCGGCTGGAACCACCTATGTGAGCCACCATGCCTGGCTAATTTTTTGATTTATGGTAGAGAAGAGGTCTTGCCAAGTTGTCCAGGCTGGTCTTGAACCCCTGGGCTCAGGTAGTTCTTGTGCCTCGGCCTCCCAAAGTGCTGGGATTCTAGGTGTGAGCTGTGATCTTGAAATGTCTCTTTTAGATCAGTTTCCTGATCTGTAAACTGATCGCCCCTTAATGGGGTGACTTATCCAACAGCCAGAAAAGATCGCTTATATTTTAACCAATCATTTTACAAATGAATGCAGATTGCACTATTGGGAGGGACAGTGGAGGAACAAAAGACAGGTCAGGAAAATTCTAACACAACAGCAAAAGCAAAAAAACAATAACCAAAACTCTCAAACCATAGAAAGTTCCCACATTTAGTTAACAGAAAGCACATCTGGTGCGCGCACACTCAGCATTGCTGCAGAAAACCATGAGTTGTACATATACAGAACTACATATTTCTGGTGTACATGAATTTCTGGTGTACATGAATTCATAAATTAAACATCTGCAAATCATATTACACTTTAAATGTGCTAGAGGAACTCACTAGTAAAAGAATTCTGATGTTAAATTCCTTTGTCGAGTCAAAAGTTCTTTTATAAAAGTAATAACTCTAATTTGCTTTGTATGTCTCTGAATTCAAAAGCAGCTACAGTCTATTTTAGGCAGACCTACTGAGGTGTATAATAATCCAAATTATTTTACATAAGCTTGGGGTGTAGTTTTGCCTTAAAAGGGAAGAAATGGACAATTATATATGTCTAGATTCTTTCTAGTCTGTGGTTCTATGAATTGCTGAGTAGCCTGTTTCATCAGCATATAAATTAATTTCCTTTTACAGCTTGGCCAAGAATATCTTGAAATACAAAAAGTACTAGAGACCCAAAAACCTGCTGATTAAAATTTTTAAAAGTATCACGAGATTGTGACTCACAGAACGTACAAATATGAGGCGGTTTCAAGATTCAATAGTCTCACTTTATGGATAAGAAAACTGAGGCTCAAGACTTAATCGATCTTTTCTAAGTCTTAACTAGAGTCTGTGGAAGAAATTCAAGGGAAGAAACAAAACTCGAACCCAGTATATTAATACTTAATTCACACAGTCCAGAATGGGCTTCCTCTGATGATGTAACATAATACTGTAATATAAGCTCCGAAAAGGCAGGAACTGTGCTGTATTTCTGGTTGTCTCCAGGGCTTCCACCAATTGCCTAGCTTTTTTTTTTTTAAATTGGAGTCTCACTCTGTTGCCCAGGCTGGAGGACAGTGGCGGGATCACAGCTCACTGCAGCCTCAACTTTCTGGGTTCAGGTGATCCTTCCTCCTTAGCCTCCTACATAGCTGGGATGACAAAGACATACCACCACATCCAGCTAATTTTTTTAATTTTTGTAGAGATGGAGCCTCGCAATGTTGCCTAGGGTAATCTCGAACTCCTGGGCTCAAGCGACCCTCCACTTTAGCTTTCCAAAGTGCTGGGATGACAGGTATGAGTTGCTGTGCCTGAAATTGCCTTGCTTAATAAAGATTACTAATTCTCCCTATGGTGAGAAGAGGCAACCCAAGGAGGTTGGTATAGTAGGCTACCTCCTTCTTTATTTCTAGTCTTTTTAGATTGTAAGATCTTAGGGTCTCAGCACATAGTTTTGCAAAATCAGTGCCAACTTTACACAGAGAAAGAAAAGATGCCCAAACTCAGATGTCCTGTCTTCAGGATGTCCTATGAAAGGACTCAGGATTGGAAGGCCCATCTGGAGACACAGAGAGATCAGATAACCAGTCCAGTTTAAGATGCCTCCTCTCAGCCGGGCTCGGTGGCTCAGCCTGTAATCCCGCGCCTTTGGGAGGCTGAGGTGAGTGGATTGCCTGAGCCCGCAGGTTCGAGATCCGCCTGGGCAGCGAGACCTCATCTCTACAATAAATCAAGAAATCAGCCGGGCATGGTAGCATGAGCCTGTAATTCCGGCTACTTGGAAGGCTGAGGTGGAAGGATCGCCGGAGCCCAGCAGGGCGAGGCTGCGGTGGCCGGGAGTGGCCACTGCACTCTAGTCTGGGCAACAGAGTGAGACTCCAACTCAAAAAAAAAAAAAAGATGCCTCCTCTCCAGAATGAATAAATTGTATTTTCTGGCTCTCTAAACCCTCTTCCAATATTAAATGTTCTTATTTTATCTGTTCCTTGAATTTTATAACTTTGACACAAAAACTAATACTTTAATAAGCCCCCTATTATTTGTTTCTTGGTTTGCTGGGTTACATACCAGGAGTCCCTAACAACTCCCTAAGCACCCAGTTAACAAGGCAGGGAATGGGGAAGCTTTGGTTTGCAAAGGCCACTGGGTCCCCCTTTCTTTTCCCATATTACTTCTACCAGAAAAGCTTCTCCCGGGTTTAGGAGATGAGGCCCATAGCATTTCTAATTTTATTTCCAGCATCAGGGCCCGAGGTTGGGCCAGTCAGATCAAAAATACCGTGGGAAGGGGCATGGATGCTCCAGACAGGCTGCCTCTGTTTGGTCTCTAATGAGACCTTGAGCAGAAGAGCTGGTCAACAGCAGGGTCTGGCTGTGTAGAGCTGGTCCCAGGCCAGAGGCACAAGGTCAGAGAGAGGCCAGGGCTTAGAGTGTGAGCCCTGGGGTGTAACCCGACTCCTGAGAAGGTGATTAAGATACCCAGACAAGAAAGAACAAAAGAGATCTGGAGAAGAAAATGAGAGAGAGAGAGGAAAGGTGGGAGGAGGGAATATTTGACAAAGGTGGACCCTCTCCAAAAAAACAGAATTATCTTTTGAAGAGTGCGCCCCTTATAGCACCTTTGTTCATACAGACAAAATGGTCAACCAATGTTTTCGTCTGGAAGTTCTGAGGAGGTTGCACCATGATTTGTGGAAGAAACATCCCAAGTTGTAGCAAACAGGTGACTTGGTTCTTCCACCATCAGAACGCACCTCCCCACACTGCATGGAGTGTTCAGTAGTTTTTAGCCAAAAACAGTATGACTCCCATGCCCCACCCTCACTATTCACCCAGTCTCATCCCAAGTGACTTTTTTTTGTGTTTCCTTGGCTGAAAAAAGTTCTCAAAGGGAAAAGTTTCACTGATGGGGAAGAGGTGAAACAACCGTTCAAAAACCGTTTGGAAAAGTGGAAAAAGTGTGTCAATAGGTGTATTGCATCAAACAGAGAGTGCTTGGAAGGTGACTGAAGTTCAAGTGTGTAAGAATAAACACAAAATCTTCTATAAATAAATTCCAGGTTTTTCTTTGGTCTCCCTTATACTCTGTAAGTTCCAATCAACTGTCGCCCAAGTTTTTGTCACCCAAGTGAGTAAAAATATCATGTATTTACTGTATTTGTGAGCTAACTGGGCCCTTACTGATTGTTGTTGGGTATTCACTCCTAGGAATGAAACTGGTTTCAGACTGGATACCATTTAACAGTGCTTTGATATGTCACACATCATTGCCCCTTGAACTGCAAAGCATGTTATTATATGATGGGTTATAAATGATCTGAGGGCTCAAATTCTGGAGACTTTGTCACCACGTACACTATACTATTGTTTCTGTGAGAAGTTCTGTTCCAAGTTCCAATCAACTGACTCAAAACTGACATAAATGTGGCTAAAAATAACCACCACTGCAAACTTACAAAATCTCTTGGATTTCATTTTTCTTTTTCATTTCCTTTAAACATATACAGACATATACAAAGCCTGTTTTCACTGAGCACACATACGGCATAAAAAGCTAAGTATTTCGGTATAACAGAAGAG